GTGCGGGCCCTCCCCCCCCCATGGCCTGTAATCCCCAGCACTTGGGGGCCGAGGTGGGTGGATACTTGAGGGCCAGGAGTTCGAGACCAGCTTGGCCTCCATGGTGAAACCTCACTCTACTGAAAATACAAAATTAGCCTGGTTGTTGGTGGCATGTGCCGTAGTCGCCAGCTACATGAGGACTGAGGCAGAAGAATCACTTGACTGGGAGGCTGCAGATGATAGGGCCTGCAGTAAGGCCAATTTTTGTATTTTTAGTAAACACGGGATTTCACCATGTTGGCCAGGCTGGTCTCGAACTCCTGACCTCAGGTGATCCACCCACCTCAAGTGATCCACCCAACTCGGCCTCCCAAACTGCTGGGATTATAGGCGTGAGCCACTATGCCCAGCCTTCACTAATAACTTTGAGAAGAATTACAGTAGCAGTCAAGCAAAAATAAATAAATAAATGGAGAATTTTAAATACAGAAAGACTTGTGGACTAAAAACAGATCATTTGCAGTGAGTTCGGCATTTGAAACTGTTAACATGTTACTCCTTTATGGTCATTGGCATCCTTTATGGAGGATAGTTCATTGAGCGCCAGAAAGTATCTAAGGATTTTGAATTCAGACCACTTTTATGGAATACAAACTCCAAGGGGGTCTTTTCTTTCTTTTGAGTATGAATGGACAGAAATTTTCTGTTTGTCTTTTGTAATGTTCCAAGATCAAAGGACTTTTTGCTGAAAATCAAGTTCTGTAAAAGCCATGCATAGTCCGAGTGTAGTGTGTGACTCTCTCAATCCAGTGAAAATAGGGCATTGGGCACCAGACTTTGAAAAATAGTATCATTACAGGGTGCTACCAGGAGTCTGCATTAGTTTCTCCTCGTACTACCTTAATACAAATGACCTTTGGTAGGATCTCATTAGTATCGCTGGATCACCACAAGCCACTGACTCCGCAAGTTTCCTCCAAATAATTCCCCTGAAACAGTTCAGAGATACAAACTCTTGGCAGTGTAAACACTCCCTGGGTCTGGAAATTTCGTAAGTCAGAGTTAAAACAAAGAATGGTCTAAAATGTATTCCTGGTACGGAATCTGAAAAGTAAAGTGCCTAGATCCAGAAACTTTTCCTGGCTCTTGGGGGCTGCCTTTCTAATTGCTATAATGAAGAATGTTTTCAGAACTGTGTAACAATAAAATGAAAGTACGGTATTTAGTATTGTAAAAGTATTTGGAATCCAGATGGGTTATCTAGTTATAGACCTCTTGTTTTCTTTTGTTGTTTCTCTATTGTGGAATTTGTATAGAAACCCTTTTTTTGTTTTTCTGTTGTTGTTATTTTGTTTTTAATAGAAAGTAAGCCTGGTGCTATGGGACATGCCTGTAGTCCCAGCTCCCAGGATGAGGCAGGAGGATCGTTTGAGCCCAGGAGTTCTGGGCAACACAGTAAGACTCCTCTTAAAAAAAAAAAAAAAAATATATATATATATATACACACACACACACAAACACACACACACACACACACACATACACATATATGGCTGGGCACAGCGGCTCATACCTGTAATTCCAGCACTTTGGAAGGCCAAGGCAGGAGGGATTGCTTGAGCCCAGGAGGTGGAGACCAGCATGGACAACATAGTGAGACCCCCATCTCTACTTTAAAAAAAAAAAAACTGGCCAGCCATGGTTGTGCACACGTATAGTCCCAGCTACTTGGGAGGCTGAAGCAGGAAGATCACCTGAGCCCAGGAGATCGAGGCTGCAGTGAGCTATGACTGAGCCACTGCACTCTAGTTTGGGCAACAAAGTGAGATGCTATCTCAAAAAAAATTTTTTTAATTAAAAAGCAAACAAAAAAGGTTTGGTGTGGGTGTATGTATTTTGTCTATCTTGTCACATTTTTGCAATAAATATTCATTTCTTTACTTCATATGAACTTAATTCTGAGGCTCCATACTTCTGGACTAAGGTGAAATTCAACCTCAACCATTTTGGTGGCTCATTAACTCCAAAGGATACCAACCAAACACCCAGACATTGATGACACCCCTATGGTCACTGCCATCAGCACTGCCTGCTCATCATCAAGCCTATCCTTGGCCAAGCCTGTAAGATCTCTCAAGTCCAGAAGTCCTGCTCCTTGACTTCTTTCATGCCTGGGGTCCTATAGGTGTCAGCCTCTAGGCTCTGACAGGTGTCAAGGATGTCAGCCCTTGACCATTGCCAGCAGGGTCTTAAAACCTGTGTGTGTGTGCACTGGGGGCAAGGAATAGGAGGACCCTGGGCACTGCAGGACCCAAATCCCCACAGTGGAACCCACAGACCTCTGTTTCTAATCTCCACTCAAAAGCTGTGCGCCTCTCTCAGCAGCCCTCCAAGACACCTATCATAATCCATTCAGTGCTCTTCGGTTCTGTGAAAAACAGAAAGAGCCAATGACTTCTGGTTGCTTCAGTTTTGAGCTCCACAAAAATCCCCAAGGTGAAGAATTTCAAAGCTTGACTACTTGCTCAACAGGAGGGGATGAGGGAAAAGGAGTGTGGACAAACTCAATTTGATAATCCTACATTTTTAGAATAGTCTCTCATCAAAATATATAAATATTTGGGTGCATAAATGTGAATTGTCTAGAGAGATCCTCGGAAATTATGAGTGGTGATTGGTGGGACTGAATCTGGGTGGGAAGCAGCCTATTTGTGTGCTTTGCAACAACCTGTAGTAGTATTGCTTGAATCCTCTACGTGGGTACATGTCATTTTTATGATGATAAAATAATTTTTAAGGTTATGAATCTGAAGAGATACAAATTATTTTTTAATTCATTAACTATGAAACACTTTTCCCAACCAAAGCTTACCTACAGCAGATATGGTTGTCCTAATTTTATGGCTCTGATTGCTGAATTCAGAGGAATTCATTGCCCAAGATTACAAGAAGGCAGAGTCAGGATTTGAACCCACGGCTGTTTTACACTTAGGTCCATGAATGCTCTTTCCTCTACTCCTGTTTTCTTCTCCTCCAGGACCCATTCATTCCACTAAGTTCTTTTCTTTCATTGCCCAAGTAATAAGGCCTGGCAAATCTCCCTTCATCAGGCCACACATCTATGCCAAATCCTTGAATACCAATAAATACCTGAAACCGTGTCTCAAAATACACTATAAAATGTAAATAAGAATGACACATAGTTCACCTCTAGTTCATACACAGCAGCAGTGTACAGGGTTAACAGTAAAACACATGGAAGAAGTTTAACATGAAATATTAGGCAAAGCCAGTTTTAAAGGAATGAAATAATAATCTTAGGAAAATTTAATTATACCTCTGAATGTATCAAAACTGTGCATGTTGTTTATCTTTATGTCAGATAAAATATAACATTATTAACAAATAGAAAATTATGGGTTGTGGCCTATTGGTTGTTTGCTTAAGGAAGCATTTCTGGTTGTTGAAAATGAATAAGATTTTGTTTTTTATAGAATGCTATAGTTATCCATGAAGTCTATGAAGAAGGGGCAGCAGCCAGAGATGGAAGACTTTGGGCTGGTGACCAGATATTAGAGGTACATGATTTTGCATTTTATTTTATATCAGTAAATGTGGTTCCTTTCCTGATCTCGATCCATAAAGTTGTCTTTCTACTCAACTATGTCTTCACTGATTCCTCTCCCATTTAACAAAATACATATCATATTCTTTTTTTCTTCTACGTACGTTGTACAGTGGTTTAGAATCATGACAGGTTATCAATCTACATTTGTCTATGAAAAGCTTTTTTTAACTAAAAGGAAAAATGGAACTTATGGGTCTATTATTTTAATATCAAATGAGACTAATATGGCAAATTTTTTGCCTCTCCATTATACCCTACTAAATTCCTCCTAAAAATACATACATATAGACACATATGCATACACATATATACCTGATATTTTAAAGATTTCATGGCAGCCTAAATCGTATTTTCTTAATCTTGATAAATCTTTATGCCAAATGGAAGTTCATGTTTTGCCAGCAATGTTTTCAAGTTGACAAAAAATGTAAAATCTTCCCCCATGATGCTTACTAAAATTTGAAATGCTTAACTTTTTCATATTGACTCTCATTTAGCAAAGTTGTTAAAGCCTTTTAAAAAGAACCAAAGCAGGCAGTGTCTGCACTATGGAATGGCTGAATGAGAAGGCAATGCCAGGCGTTCTGGTAGGTGGAACTAAAGAGCTTTCTGGATGGTGTGAAACCTTTAGGCAACATTTTTCTTTTCATTGGATGAACTTAATTGAATAGTTGGCATTTTATGGTGAGCATGTGCATTTTTGCTTTGCAACTTTAATATAGCACATTACGAATGACATCATAGAATTTTATTTTTCCCTTTGGTGGTTCATTTCTGCCTCCCAAGATGAAACCAGAGATATAATTAAGGGCAGGAAACATAGCCGAGAAGGGGTTAAAGGAGAGGCCAGGCTGATTGCAAATTAAATTCAGCCCAAGTTACAGGATTTCTCTGCAGCCCTTTACTGTGTTTCATCATTGGATTAAGACATATTCCCAGTACATTCATTAAGGTACAAGTGTATGAGGTTAGAAAAATAAGCAAGACCTCTCTGGGAATTGGCTTGACTGCCTTAGCATACAACATGGTTTTTTAGTGGTCAGGAGTTTGGGGTTTCTTTGTTTTACCCTCCCCAGATTTCTAAATCAGTTGGTATTGTCATAATTGGCTTTTTAAGATGAATAGATTAAATATTTAAAATGGCACATATGCCTTGATACACAATGCCTTGATACTTATATGATTTGTAAGTCCACAAATTATAATGGTCACTTGAAACTAAATCTAACATGTTCATTACCTTGAATGTGGTGATGGGTTCACAGGTATAAATATCCATCTGGCAAAACCTATCAAATTGTACACTTTAAATTTGGGCAGTTTATTTTATATCAATTATACTTCAATAAGGATTTTTTAAAACTATTTATGTTTATATTAGATAGACCCTCTGTAGCTGCTCTCTTCTATAAAGTATACTCAAGTACAAGCAAACACCCCGTAAAGGTTAACATGAATAAAGCAAATTTGTTTTAAGTGGGAGAATTTTTCAAAAATCAAGTTCACAGTTTCTTGGCAACTGGGAGCATTATATTATCTAGTCTGAATGGATGGCCTATACTTCTCATTAAAGATGGCCCATGCAGGCTCCTCTCTTTCCTCAAACAAGGTCTAGTTCATGAGAGTCTAACACATGTTTAGCTAAGAAATATAGCTCTCAATTTGGTCAGGGAACATGCTTCCTTTCTAAACAGCTTCTACTTCACATTGGACTGGTTCTGGTTGTGGCTGATGAGTACAAATGCGTGATGAGGCAGCAGCAGCCTGTGACCCACAGGAGGCCTTGAGAAGACAGGCCTGTTTTCGTGGGATGTTTTGAGACCATGAAACAGGGTAACACTACATCAGCGCTTTTCCAAACAATGCCCTTTCCATTCGTGAGAGTCCTCCGCGTTCCGCAAATTGGCCTTTCATGGTTTTAATACTATCCTCATGGTAAGGTTAGGACATGCCAGGTTTTGCTTCCACAGATAGAGTTGAATAATGTTTTGGCATGGCAAGATTTATGATTCTATTAATAGGATGAGCATCAGCTATGTCTCCTTTCTGGTTCTCCTTTTAGGCTAGTTCCTTCTCGTACCCTCCCTGCTCTGCAAGTGGGAGCAGAAGAGAGTAGAGAGTTAATGCCTGTTTTTCCCTATGCAATAAAATACGGAGGAACTGCTGCACTAACTTTGTTTTCTTTCCTTCTCAAGAACTGGGTTCACCCACTTCCCCACATGGCCATTCTACCCAAGGGATATGGCATTCTCCCTTTGACAACTTTCCTGGAGCCTTTCTTCTCAAATAGGAAGCCCTGCTGTTTCCACCCCTCCTCCTCTACAGCCAATGTTCTAAATAATGCATACTGTGCTTCTGTAAAGCACTTACATAATACATCTCCCCACAATGTTCTAGCCACACTGTGATATTTCTGTCATGATTATCTGCACATTTAGTGGTATCTCCTGATTTGCAGAGGAGCAAATGGAAACCAGGAACTTAGATCACTTCCATCTGAGCAGATACCATCTTGCTGGAATTTAATAGAAATTGCTTTGTAATATTAGAGCTTAATGACAATGCTTTTCATTAAAAGTATATTTGTTAGGGCCTTTCGAACGGTATTTAGAGGCTTAGAAAGTTCACCTTCAATCCAGGGAGGTAACTGGTTCTTTTTTTATTGAGTGACAGAAGTGGTCTTGTGTGCCATCTATTGGAATACAGGAAAATAATCAACTCAGACCACATTTCCTGGATATACACTTTTCCTCTTTGTGTTTCATTCACAGACAATGAAAATGTGTTCATTGGCCTAAAGTAACAGTGAATGATCATGCTGAGAGGAAAAACAGCCTTCACTGAAGTTACTTCAATTCCTTGTAAAATACCAACTTCTAACTTACACTGGACAAAACTGTGTGCCAAGCCCTGTGCCAAATGATTTACAGGGTTTATTTCAATTAATCTTCACAACACTAAGTAAATATTATTATCTCCAATTCATAGATGACACGGCAAAAGTTTGGTTTAAGTAATTTACACAGGATTTCATATAGCCAGGAAATTGGAATCAGCACTCAAACCGAAGTGCATCCATATCCAAAACCCATGTTCTTTTTTTTTTCTTGAGACAGAATTTTGCTCCGTTGCCCAGGCTGGAGTGTAACGGCACAATCTATGCTCACTGCAACCTCCGCCTCCCAGGTTCAAACAATTCTCCTGCCTCAACCTCCCAAGTAGCTGGAATTACAGGTGCCTACCACCACACCTGGCTAATTTTTTGTTTTTTTAGTAGAGATGGGGTTTCACTATGTTGACCAGGCTGGTCTTGAACTCCTGACCTCATGATCCACTCGCCTCGCTCTCCCAAAGTGCTGGGATTACAGGCGTGAGCCACCGTGCCTGGCCCAAAACCCATGTTCTTTTCCACTCTTTTTCTGGATGTAGCTCATCTACGTGAACACACAAGCCACCAAGATACACTAGAAAATAAACAGCAGGCTGGGGGCAGTGGCTCAAGCCTGTAATCCCACCACTTTGGGAGACTGAGACGGGCAGATCATGAGGTCAGGAGATCGAGACCATCCTGGCTAACCCGGTGAAACCCCGTCTCTACTAAAAAATACAAAAAAAAACTAGCCGGGCGAGGTGGCGGGCGTCTGTAGTCCCAGCCACTCGGGAGGCTGAGGCAGGAGAATGGTGTAAACCCGGGAGGCGGAGCTTGCAGTGAGCTGAGATCCGGCCACTGCACTCAAGCCTGGGCGACAGAGCGAGACTCCGTCTCAAAAAAAAAAAAAAAAGAAAAGAAAAGAAACAGCAGCTTGGAAATTAGGCATTTAAACATTTTCTTGGCTCACAGAATCAGCTTCAAATGACAATTCAAAAGTCACCTACTCCAAGAAGGGTTCATTCTTCCTTTCTCCTTTCCCCGTAACCATTCTTTATGCCACTGGTCCTTAGTCTTTAGAATGTCAGAATTAAAAAATCCTTAGGGGCTGGGTGCGGTGGCTCACACCTGTAATCCCAGCACTTTGGGAGGCCGAGGCTGGCAGATCACCTGAGGTCAAGAGTTCAAGACCAGCCTGGCCAATATGGTGAAACCCTGTCTCTACTAAAAATATAAAAGTTAGCCAGGCGTGGTGGCAGACACCTGTAATCCCAGCTACTCGGGAGACTGAGGCAAGAGAATCGCTTGAACCTGGAAGGCGGAGGCTGCAGTGAGCTGGGATCGCGCCACTGTACTCCGGCCTGGGTGACAGAGTGACACCCCATCTCAAAAGAATAAAAGAAAAAGCCTTAAACCATTGCTTCATTGTACAGATAAAGGAACAAAGGTTCAGAGGCTGGCTTGACCTTCCAGTAGCACACAGGCCTGGACCAGAATAAGGAATGGAACTGACATCTTGGGGGAACGCAAGCACTCTACCATCTGCCTGGTGGGCTGGACTAATCCTTCCCCTCGTTTAACTCTTCTCCTAGCTGAAACCTTGAGGGAATCACCACCCCTGACTTCTTTCTTTTGAGTCCAAGGTTACTCTGCTCCTCAATGTCTCCCTCATATGAAATTTACTAACCAATGTCATTATTTGACTTTCTTTGTGACAGGGGATCTCCGGTAACCCATTCTAAGAGTTAATGATGAGGCAGCATGGAATAGGAACTGAGGGTGGAAGGACTGTCTTGGCTCCTCCCCCTGCTAGCTGTGTAACCTGGGTCAAGTCCTTAAACCTCTATATGCCTCAGTTTCCTCCTCTATGAATGGTGATAGTAACAATATCTATCTCAGAGAGTTAGTATAAGGATTAAATGAGTAAATATTCATAAAGGAGTAGCACACAAGCACTGCAGAAGTATTTAAGTTAAAGAATAAATAATTTGGCTATAATGTCTATTTAACAGAAAAGGAAACAGAAGCTCAGAGAGGGTACATGACTGTGGCTTCTACTCAGTGCTCTTTCGCTACACGCTCCGCTTCTTTTTTTTTCTTTTCTTTTTTTTTTTTTTTTTTTTTTTTGAGACGGAGTCCTTGCTCTGTCACCAGGCTGGAAGTGGCAGTGGCATGATATCACTCGGCTCAACTGCAAGTTCTGCTCCAGGTTCACACGGCATTACTCCGGACTGCCTCAGCCTCCCGAGCTAGTCTGAGATTAGCAGGCAGCGCCGCCACCCGCACCGCCTGCTATTTTTCTTGTGATTTTTAGTAGAGATGGCGCGAGTTTCACACGTGTTAGCGGATGGTCTCGACTCTCCTGACTT